CCCGATCTAGTGCCGAGGCTGAGTATCGTGGTGTTCCAAATTGTGTGGCTGAAACTTGTTGGTTGCGGCAACTTCTACATGAGCTCAAGGTACCACCCAGTCGTGCTACCGTGGTGTATTGTGACAACATTAGTGCATCCTACCTTGCGAGCAATCCGGTTCAGCATCAACGGACAAAGCATATTGAGATTGACTTGCACTTTGTTCGGGATCGAGTGGTTCTTGGCGAAGTTCGTGTCATGCATGTCCCATCCAGCTCGCAATATACCGACATCTTCACCAAGGGCCTGCCCTCGCCAGTCTTCACCGAGTTTCGATCCAGCCTGAACATCCTGCCAAACGGAGTTCCGGCTGAGGGGGGGGTGTTGAGTTGTATATGTTGTACACTTGTAATGTTGTATTGACACGCCTTGTAATGATCCTAGAATATAGGATCTGAGCTCTCCCACATGGCCTGCGTGCCTAACATCTCTGGACTCTCTCTCCCTCTCTATGTATACTCCTGTTGTAACAGAGACAATCAAGGCAATCATAACATACTTCCCAACTAGAGGTAGCCAAAGACCATCAACCTGTTGCACAAGCTCAGAAAGATCAAACAAGTGGGGGTTGGCCATGGCAGATAATCTGTTACCGAACATTCTCGAGATGATAGCAGCTTTGACTTCATCCTCATCAGTTGAGGAGCCCTAACGGTGCAGCAACTACTTCACAACGGTGAAGCGGAAACAGCGGCGATAACTTGAACCCACGTAGCGAGCCATAACCAACAAGCAGGCTGACTGGGGAAGCGGCCTAGTTCGCATCGACGTCATCGAAGAACACATCTTCATAACCTGTATCTTCCATACCTGGCCAAGTTGATTGTATCTTCCATACCTGGCCAAGTTGATAGCCAGGGACAAGCCAGGTGAGTACGTTTGAATGTACTCGCAGGCAACCCAAGGAACATAATAGCAGAATATTCATGCAAGGCTCAATACAAAGGAAAGGCTTCTATACTAAGTTTAAAAATTTGCAGAAAGCTGGTTTTTAATGCACATGTCCTACTTTTGGAAATCAACAAGGCCCCAAGGTCCGAAGAACGACGGAGCCTCAGGTTACAGATATCAACATAAACAGGTTAAGTTCAACGCTAACTCATCTCATCATCAAGTCTGGGTACCTATTATCCCTCATTATCATCATCAGCATCTTTCCATATCATCAGCGTCCTTATCATCATATAGTTTTTATGGACATAGTCTAAGAGGGGTCATTCCAACTGCCCTTAACCGAGGACAACGGCTATTCGCATAGATTTACACTCTGCAAAGGTTGCACACTTTACCCACAAGAACCAGAGAGCTTTCGTGTCAACAACAACGTCTCAACGCACAACTGACTTGCACCTGAGACAAACCTCCGATCAATACCTTTCCTCAGACGACACTATTAGAGAGACCACACGCTGGTACTCGTTCCCCGTGCAACATCCTCATCATAACATTTTTGTATAAGGAGCTACAAGTCCCAGGCCCATCATCTCACCCACGCACGAGGGTACCAACGATGTGCCTGCTGCCGATATAAATCAAGCATAGCCACCGATCCAACAGTGATCGCGTGCCGAGATTGGCTACAACCGCACTCGTCACTAGAAATGTGGGCCCTCTTGTAGTATCAAACAAGGTACTCAATAATGCCTCTTTCCCATATAAGAGGTAGTGTGGTTGCGCTAGGTGTTGGGCCGACAACACATCTTAGCATCTAATCCTTTTTGAAACATTGGTTTACTTCCTCCCTCGGGAACCTTCGTTACCCGATGGGGTTTTCAGATAACTTTTGTAATGGTTTTTTTTTGCTTGTGTCCAACCTATAAGCTTGCTACCCATTTTGCATGGCTAAGCAACTACCATAGCATGTAGTTATGCCCATTTGTGTTTCATGGGTTATCAAGGTCAAGGTAACAACGACATCTAGGGTGTCGCTTATGTCATGCAAATAGGATCAACTACTAGCAGCGCATAATTATAAATTTTGATGCACGAAAATAAACTACATCATGAGCAAAACTTGGGTGAATCAACATGGTCAAAAGGTTGCTTGCCTGGCTTAGTAAAGTCTTCAAATGCTTCTGGTCCTTCTCCAAATACTCCTTCTACTTCGTCAACTAACGTTGAAAGCAATCACAATAATAAACACAACAAGGCAGAAAATAAAAGTGCTCTAAAAATAGGAATTTCACTTTTCTAGGACCTCTTTGGCTGTAAAATAACAAGAGTAACCCTACTAATTTTAGAGCTACTGATATTTTTGAACATTTCATATAGGTGGAATCAATGGAATAATGAACATCCAAGAAGTTCACAAAATTCCTTTTGTAAAAATGAGTGAAGGTACTCATTAAATAAGGCATGATTTTAGAAACATTTAGAAATTAGTTTCACTGGATTTGGAGTTCAAATGATTTTCCTAGGGATTTGCAAGGTTGACATAAAGGAAGAAATGGCCTATTTAATGGGTCAGACAAAAACTAGGCATAGGAGAAATGTTCACTATGGCTAGATAAATAGATAATCTATACCTATATATATACTAATAAAGCAAATATGTATTCTTAGTCCGTCAGGCATATTTCCAGAAAAAACCCTGTATTTTTTTAGAAAAACCCGCCATCCATAATTAATTTTCCCCAAAAAAACAAAAAACAATTCGTTTATGGGCCACAATACACCAAGTGGGCCTCATAAAATCAGACAGAAGAGTTGTAAGAGTTGTGGGGAATCAAACTCACAACCTCCCGTATGAGGTAGAGCTGGGCAAACCATCTGTGCTAACATCTATTTATCCCTAAAAAAAGCTAACATCTATTTGTGTTTAATACCACCTCGATAATTTATATTCAATGTTACCAATTTATTTACGTTTATAACTTATCTGAAATGTAACAAGCCTCCTCGGAAAACAAAGAACATATGGAATTAGAAGAAAGACCAGAAAAGGATTAACTCGAGGGATGGGATTGTGCGCGTCTGATACATGATACTTCCATCGTGGAAATAATCTATCTAAAGACCTGATTAAAAATCGACTGAATAAAAAAAGAATAAGGTGCAACCTATGACCATGTATGTGTCCAGAAATTCATGGTGCACTTAATTAACCTAAAATTGCTTACTCCTAATTAACGTGAGAGGGAAGCCTGGAACTGGCAGGCGCCCATGAGCCGTCCAGCGGTGCTCCTCCTCCACGACTTCCCGAAGAGCTGGAGGTCGTGGTGCAGCCAGATGGGCGCGCTTGCCACGCTCTGGCAGCCTCGCCCCGGACCTCCACTGCGGTGAGTCCGGAACCCCCTTCCACCCCGATGTCTACGTTCCTCAACCTGTGATGGGTTCTATATCACATGGGGTACAAGGTGACATGCCGACCCCTGTGTCTTCTTGTTCTTAATTACAGTGAATTGAGTTCTCTGTAATGGAAGTTCACACGACAAATCGAATCTCAGTGTCAATGCTGGAGATGACTACAACTGCTGCATGCTACGACGTTGATAGTGGCTGCATCGGACTCTGTGAAGGATAGTAGATGGGTGCAGAAGCCATGCATGGTGAGCGCTGCCATGCAGTGGCGCCACGAAAGCTAACTCTTCGGGTTACCAAGTTCTGATTGCATGCATGCTTGAAAAAAAGGAAAATTGGTGTGACCCATGCATGTAATTACAGCAATTATCTCAAGCATGCAAACACACATAATTATTTTTATATACTAATCCATTAGTGCCTAGGTCACGCTACATCACGACGTTCCCGTTGCAACGCACGGGCATATGTGCTAGTGATTTATGAACCACCTAGGAATTTGAATCAGAGCTAGGATGGATATTCTGGGGATGTTCAGAGTAGACTTTATATATGAGGATATGGCCAAAATAATGGTTGGGCAGAAAATGCTACATGAAAAAATGTGCATCGTACACCATTGGATAGATCATGAAATTAGGGGCATGTAGGAATTTGAATCATCAAATTTGGATTTGAAATGAATATTCTTGGAATATTTGAATATCTAGATAATTAGAAAAGAAAAGGCAACAACCTGCCAGGCTGGATCTGGCGGCGCAAAGGCGTGTACCAGGCGCAACTTAGCGGAGCAGCGAACTGGGCCTGGCCAACTACTCGTGCGGGCGCGGGAGGGCGACGTCAAAGACTGGTTGTAGTCGGCGGGAATCTTAGAACTTAGCATTTTTGCTCTGGGGAGCGATTGCCAACGGTTTTTTTTTGTACGTCCTCCTATGGGGCATGTTGAGTGCTCCCACTGGGTGTACTCCCCGAGACTACCGTCGATTGCTGGCAATGGGCGGGAGTCTTTTTGAACTAACACTTTGATGTTTTTGGCACTTGGAGTGCCACCCCCACACGGCTGCCAGAGTGTGGCGCTTTAATGGTATTGGATAAAACCTTGATGAATGTGGACTCTTGGGTCATACAACGGTCCATTACTCTAGAAAATATTAATATCTAAAAAAACTTCTTGAGGGAAATTACATATGAGTTAAGAGTGACAAAGAAAGGCATGTTCATAAAATATTTAAGCAAACCTCCTACAAGGCTAATATTGTACAATAATTGCAAGCGAGCACTAGGTATTACAACAATTCCAAATGAGCAGCGATGTGAGATGGCAATTTATATAGGCCCAAGTTAATAAACGAAGTTCGAGCCAAATGCTAATGTATTGTTGGGTATCAATTACTCCCTCTGTCCGGAAATAACCGTCCTTCAAACGGATGTATCTAGCGTTACGCTAGATACATCCGTTTGAGCGACACTTATTTCCAGATGGAGGGAGTACTTGTTGCAACCACTAAAAAGTAATGCAATGTTGCAACCACTAAAAAGTAAATAGAAAATATAGACGATGCAAGGTAAAGGAAAAATAAATCATTCTGCTACTACTTAAAGATAAGGTTACTTACTCAGTTAATGCATCACAATAGCATATCCATCTGACGAATCATCTTATGTATTATGTAAAAGTTCAGCTCCATCATGTCCACCACCAATACGCTTGCCTACAAGGGGGTATTCTAGCCATTAGGTACCTCATTTCCAGAAACATCTGCACTCCAACTATGCACTGATACTACTATTCATATCAGATAAGTAGATACAAGGGCGCATCGATGAGATATTTGGACAAACTCACATATGGAGTTAAGAGGAAAACAGCTCGGGTTTGATACATCATGACGAGTATATAAACAAAACCCATCTACCATCAAAGGAAGACAAATATTCTCAAAACAATATATACTCGGTACCGTCATAGAAATGAAGAACCCCGCACACTCAAACTATTAGCTGAACTGAAGGAAGAAGTTGCCTAAAATTATGCTTAAGCTCGCTCCATGCTATATCTGTTAAAATAAAATACACCCATACTAATAAACCCACTAAAAGATGTTTCCCTAAATCATAACCATCACAGGAAATGCCACCACACAAACATCCGAAAAGAGGACGCTAGAAGAAAATTGCTATATGTCGACAAGATCATCAAGTAGCAAGAAACAATTTAAATAGAGCCACTTAAAATTGCTAGCTTAACATGAAAGGATTTGAGCGGTATTCAACCAACCAATTATAAGTAATATCTTGGTTTTGTTATACCAGCAATGTAAAGGCATATGCTATTACCTCCTGCAGCATGGACACTTTCGAATGGAAAATAGCGACCCATGAGGGTTTTGGAAACTTTCTTGAACTGCATGGACTCAAGCTGGATCGTGAAGACGCCAATATGTGTCCGTAGGAATACCACATTATTGTACTCAGCAAACCCTAATATCATTGGGGGCGGCCCTCTCTCAATATCTGAATCCGTGGAAAGTAGTTTAACTAGATTGATAGTTCTTTGCAGTATCCATGAAGCAACACCATCAGAATCGGTCTCCATCTTCCATAATTGGGCGCTGAATTTTGACAAAGAGAGAATACCAAGGCCACCACCCTCTGCCCGCATAACCTGGAACTGGGCTAGACTATTATTGGCAATATCTACTGGCACCGGTATCACAGCTAGGATCTGCCTCTCCAAATCAAACTCAAGGATGCCATCCAATGTGTTAATTTCTGCCGATCTGTCAATGAGCAACCAGTAAAGGGAATGCCCAACTAGCACACTGATAGTTACGAACATTGTAATCATGGTGGGAAATTCGCCCATAGTAGAACTAGAAGCCTTGGATGGAAGCGGTGTCGAGACAATATCACCCCATCCGCCAGTCTCCGATGAGTAAACACGGGCGATTGCCCGTGTATGTTGTTGGTCAGCTGTCTCTGTGCCTACCAAGACCACCTGGAAGTGTTGGCTGTCTCCGGCGGCGCGATACACCGCCCCGCTGGCCCAGCTGACCAGGGCCTTCTCCAAATCGAACTCCGGGGGAACGGCAAGGTGGTGCTGGTCGATGTTGAAGGGGTCCCACACCAGGAGCTTGTTCCACAATTCGCAGAAGGTGAGTAGGAGGCCATGGCGGGATCCCAAGGGCATCAAGTACCAGATGCGGTCGTCGTCGAGGGTCTCGAGGCACGAAGAGAGGTGGGAATCCGGGACACGATTGGGGGGATCCATTGCAGGTTCGAAGTCCGAGACGTGGTAGAAGAACCCGAGGAGAGGTGGGTTGTGGCGGTGGTGGAGGCGGAAGCGGCGGGAGAAGCCGGGGTCGGAGACGATTCCAAGCCAGCGCTTGGAGACAAGGGAGGCGCGAGGGAGGGAGGACGGATCTGGCGGGAGGCGGAGGAGGATCTCCGAGAGGAGGTTGTCGTCCACCAGCGGCGGGGCCGCCGCCGGCGGGAGCGGGGGGCGGCGGCTCATCTCCTCACAGCTCATGTGGGAAGTGTTTGGAAGCGGCAACCCACGATGTGAGGATAGCAGAGTGTGAGATTGCAGAGTCACGGCTGCCACTGAGATTGAAGCCCAAAGCCCAAAGGCAAACCCTTCCTACTTCGGGAGAGAAAGCCCACTACGCTATACTCCCTCAAATACAAACAGTATACGCAGTCTCTCTCTCAAAAAAAAGACAGTATACGCAGAATTTTCTAACTGTTTCTTTGAAGCTAACAAAAATGGTCATTTTTTTATGGCCGCTGCTATGAATCAGCCGGCCGATTTTCTGAAGAAATCAGCCGGGTCATGAACCGTCGGATACGTCTTTCCTGGTTGTTGGATGAGTCAACAAGATGCCGCTCCGATCTCCTCTTGCTTTGTTCTCTTTTGGGCCACTGGCCACAACAAACGCAATGCATGCGTCGTCGGTAGAAATATCACCGCCCCAGCTTGTAGGTGCCACTCCGCCACGCAACAAGACCTTGGGTGTTGCATCGCAGCTCCGCCGCCGGCAAGATCCGTGGGCACAGTACCTTGGGGGTTGCATCGCAACTTCGCCGCCAGCGAGATCCGTGGGTTGCAGCACTTCGCGTGCTACATTGCAGCTCCGTCGCCGGCCTACGGCAGCGCAACACCGTGAAGTCCTGCATTGCACCGCCGGTGAGGCTGCGTTGCAGCACCAGCAGCCACCAACGGTCGTGTGGCAGTGCAACACTCATGAGTGTTGCATAGCAGCCGTCGGCGGTGTCGCATCGGAGCACCGATGTCAAGGAGTGTTGTGTCGCAGCACGCCAGCACCGGTTTGTGGTTTCTCGCGCACCAGTAGGTGGAGCTTGTGCAACCATGGCGGACACAGCAGGCATGGGCGAGATGTGCGGGGACGAGCTTGCGCTAGAGGACGAGGAGATAAGGCTAGCAGGTGGGCGGGCCCCACCAAGACGTGTCGCGTCCATAACACGTGGTTTACACGAGTGGAAAATCATCCGATTGAAAATCGTTTTCCTTTTTTGATTCATTGCGATGCAAAACTAATTTATGTGAAAAATATTGATTATAATAAAGCATCGTTAGCGTTATCTACCATATTCGACTATATATTCAACAGTTATTTCTCACGGGTGGCACATGTTTTTTGCACCTGTCTAGTGCAAATCCAAGTTGACAAGTAACGAGAAGGAGTTATAGAGGTCGAGATTGGTGAAACTGATGGAGCAATGGACCGATTGCACTCGTGACTCGTTGGACTAAGTGACTTGCAGCAGATGTGGATTTGGTTATTCACCTGACCCTATTACTAAACAGTATCACTAGTAGAAAACAGGGCTTTGGTTCAGGTCGGGTCAGCCCATTAGTTCCGGTTCAGTCCAGAACCGGAACTAATGGGGCATTGGTCCCGGTTCGTGAGCCCAGGGGCCGGCCGGGCCACGTGGGCCATTGGTCCCGGTTCATCTGGACCTTTTGGTCCCGGTTGGTGGGATGAACCGGGACCAATGGGCCTCGCTCTTGGCCCATCATCATTGGTCCCGGTTGGTGGCTTGAACCGGAACCAAAGGCTCCCCTTTAGTCCCGGTTCATGTCACCAACCGGGACCAATGAGGTGCCTATATATACCCCTCGTTCACGAGCAGAGCATCCCAGTGCTGTGTTTTTCTCTGGCCGAGGGGGAGAGGGCTTGGTGGTGCTCTAGCTCACCTCCTATGCACACAAGGTGTTCGATGGAATGCCCGAGCCACACTACTTAAGCTTTCTCCTCTCCAAGCTCGACCTCCAAACTCCATTTTCCATAATATTTGTCTAGGTTTAGCGGTCTGTTACGCCCCGTCCCCTCTTCACCGCCGTCGATCACCCGCGCCGAGCTCATCGTCGGCACCACCGTGGTGAGCCTCTTGTTCTTATCTTCTTTCTAAAAGGAAAAATATTCTTACTTGTATGTTTACATAGATACTTGTATTATTTTCTTACTTTTATTATTGCATCTTATATAGTGCGATGGTTTTCGTATCCGCCCCCGTCGGCCCTCGTCCTGTCTATGATTCGGATGTGGTATATATATTATCTTTATAACTATTGGTTCATTTATTGTTTATGAAAATTACGCCGACCAACGTGACATAGATTTTATTTATGTAGGATGTATGTGAATCGGAAATGCCAACCGACCCTATTGTCGAGAGGTTAAATTTAGTTGAAGAAGAAAACAAATTGTTGAAGGAAAAAATAAAAAAATTTGAGGAGGAGAAGATGATATTGGAGTTGCATGTTGCGGATGTCGTCGATGATCACAAGATGAAGATGGATGCAATGCGCTTGAAGATTAGAAAGATTAGAAAATATGTCATTCATACCGAGGCTTGGTATCATTATGCCGTTGGATCAATTGTTACCTTGGTTGCGATTATGATCGCATTTGTTTTTGCATTGAAATGTTTTACATAGTTTCAATGTATGGTTTAATTAATTAGATGCTCTGGAGAGCTATATGTTGTTAGATGAGAACTATGTATGCAATTTGGTTTTAATGTGATGATGAACTTCTATTAATTTGGACACTTAATTATATATAATGCACGCAGATGAACCGGCAATGGATGTACGGTGACAGACACACCTGCGAGTACATTAAGGGCGTGCATGAGTTTCTCGATGCGGCTGAGGCAAACAAGCAGAATGGCTTTATGTGTTGTCCATGCACTGAATGTGGGAATATGAGGTCTTACTCTAACCGGAAAATCCTTCACTTCCACCTGCTTTATAAGGGTTTCATTCCACACTATAATGTTTGGACGAGGCACGGAGAAATAGGGGTTATGATGGAAGACGGCGAAGAAGAAGAGTACGATGACAACTATGTGCCCCCTGAATACGGTGATGTTGCAACGGGGGGAGCTGGTGAAGATCAAGAGGAACCAGATGATGTGCCCAATGATGCTGCAACGGGTGAAGCTGCTGAAGATCAAGAGGAACCAGATGATGTGCCCGATGATGATGATCTCCGCTGGGTCATTGTCGATGCAAGGACGCAATGCGAAAGTCAAAAGGAGAAGCTGAAGTTCGATCGCATGTTAGAGGATCACAAAAAAGGGTTATACCCCAATCACGAAGATGGAATTGCTGCAGTGGAAGGCAGAGAATTTTGTGGCTGACAAAGGATTTGAGAAGCTACTGAAAATATTAAAGAAGAAGCTTCCAAAGGATAATGAATTATCCGACAGTACATACGCAGCAAAGAAGGTCGTATGCCCTCTAGGATTGGAGGTAGAGAAGATACATGCATGCCCTAATGACTGCATCCTCTACCGCGGTGCATACAAGGATCTGAACGCATGCCCGGTATGCGGTGCATTGCGGTGTAAGATCAGACGAGATGACCCTGGTGATGTTGACGGCGAGCCCCCCAGGAAGAGGGTTCCTGCGAAGGTGATGTGGTATGCTCCTATAATACCACGGTTGAAACGTCTGTTCAGAAATGAAGAGCATGCCAAGTTGATGTGATGGCACAGTGAGAACCGAAAGAAAGATGGGAAGTTGAGAGCACCCGCTGACGGGTCGCAGTGGAGAAAAATCGAGAGAAAGTACTGGGATGAGTTTGCAAAGGACCCAAGGAATGTATGGTTTGCTTTAAGCGCGGATGGCATTAATCCTTTCGGGGAGCAGAGCAGCAATCACAGCACCTGGCCCGTGACTCTATGTATGTATAACGTTCCTCCTTGGATGTGCATGAAGCGGAAGTTTATTATGATGCCAGTTCTCATCCAAGGCCTTAAGCAACCCGGCAACGATATTGATGTGTACCTAAGGCCATTAGTTGAAGAACTTTTACAGCTGTGGAATGGAAACGGTGTACGTACGTGGGATGAGCACAGACAGGAGGAATTTAACATTAAGGCGTTGCTGTTCGTGACCATCAACGATTGGCCCGCTCTCACTAATCTTTCAGGACAGACAAACAAAGGATACCACGCATGCACGCATTGTTTAGATGACACTGAAAGTATATACCTGGACAAATGCAGGAAGAATATGTACCTGGGCCATCGTCGATTTCTTCCAACCAACCATCAATGTCGAAATAAAGGCAAGCATTTCAAAGGCGAGGCAGATCACCGAAAGAAGCCCGACATGCGTACCAGTGATCACGTACTTGCTATGGTCAATGATTTACACTACGTAATCTTTGGAAAGGGTCCCGGTGGACTAGCTGTTCCGAATGACACTGAGGGACACGCACCCATGTGGAAGAAGAAATCTATATTTTGGGACCTACCCTACTGGAAAGACCTAGAGGTCCGCTCTTCAATCGACGTGATGCACGTGACGAAGAACCTTTGCGTGAACCTGCTAGGCTTCTTGGGCGTGTATGGAAAGACAAAAGATACACCTGAGGCACGGTAGGACCTTCAACGTTTGCACGAAAAAGATGGCATGCCTCCGAAACAGTATAAAGGTCCTGCCAGCTACGCTCTTACGAAAGAAGAGAAAGAAATCTTCTTTGAATGCCTGCTCAGTATGAAGGTCACGACTGGCTTCTCGTCGAATATAAAGAGAATAATAAATATGCCAGAAAAAAAGTTTCAGAACCTAAAGTCTCATGACTGCCACGTGATTATGACGCAACTGCTTCTGGTTGCATTGAGGGGGCTTCTACCGGAAAACGTCTGATTAGCCATTGTGAAGCTATGTGCATTCCTCAATGCAATCTCTCAGAAGGTGATCGATCCAGAAATCGTACCAAGGCTAAGGAGTGATGTGGCGCAATGTCTTGTTAGTTTCGAGCTGGTGTTCCTATCATCCTTCTTCAATATCATGACGCACGGCCTAGTTCATCTAGTTGACGAGATTGTCATCCTGCACTACTAGGGAAAACCCTAGCAGTAGCGCTGGTTTTGTGCTCACTAGTAGCGCGGGTAAGTGCGCTACTAATAAGGCGCTACAACTATTTCTTAGCAGTAACGCGTGCCGCACGCGCTGCTGCTAGGACAAATAGCTGCAGGGCTTGTTCACTC